GTAAGTTTTTTTTTCATTATTATATATAATAATTATAATAAAAATGGTGTAGAATTTCTATATCCTCTTTTTCTGTTTTTGCCCCTGTATACATATAGTCACACAAAACATTTTGTACAATTTGCTTTTGTATAAAATTTTTCATATTTTTTTCTACTTCTTGTGCTCTATAGTTTATTCTTCATCTTCTCACACACTTCCTCTAATAGAAAACAACAAAAACAAAATCCTCGGAAAGAGGAAAAAATTTTCATAAATTACGCCCCGACGTCGTCTGCAGTTGCACTGTCTGTGTTTTGTTGTTGTAATAAATTAAACTCCTTTTTTTTTCTAACAAAATTTTGTTTATTTTTTATCGTAAAACTTATAAATTTTAGTTCAAATTTTAAAAGTTTTTTTTTAAACTTTTTAATTAAAAAACTTAATTAAAACATTAAACAAACTACGCAACTTTAATTATATTATACAAAAACAACAACAAAAAGTAAATTGTCTGCTGCTCTTCTTTTTATTTTATGTATACACTCACATTAACACATTTTATTTCCTCTATTTGTTCTAAAAAAAAAAAACAACAACTAGAAAACAAGAAAAAAATCAACTGTCTGGCCGCCATCCATGCACATACCAGGCATGGAAAGTTCAGTACTTTGGTACTTTTTGATAGCGAAAAAAACTTTGTTAATTCTGGTACTTTTTTTACTTACTTTTTATACTTTTGATGATAATTTGTCCACATAGTAGCCAATAGATAGTCTATTATATAGTCTAGTTTATATGCTAGCCTATAGTCTATAATCTAGTCTAGTTAATACATCTGTGTGTGTAGTTTATAGTCTAATCTATTGTCTACTCTAGAGCCGGATCAATAGACTAGTTTATTGTCTAGTCTATAGTTTAGTCTATAGTTAAGTTTATAGTCTACTATATAGTCTATCTAGTCTAATCTAAAGTCTAGTCTATAGTCTATGTTATAGTATCGTCTGTAGTCTGTGTTGTAGTATTGTCTTTAGTCTAGTCTGTAGTATAGTTTAGTCTATAGTATATATTATAGTCTTTTCTATAGTATAATCTATACTAGTCTATAGTCTATTTTATATTATAGTCCATAGTCTAGTCTATGTTATAGTCTATATTATAGTCGAATCTATAGTCTAGTTTATTGTCTAGCCTTTAGTTTATTGTCTAGCCTTTAGTCTAGTCTAGACAAGTCTTTAGTTTAGTCTAATTGAATATTAGTTTAGTACAAGTTAGTACTTTTTCAAATTTTCACTTATCCACGTCTGACACATACCACACACACATACCGTACACACATTTCCACACAACACAATTCTTTAACATTAAATTGTTTTTGTTTTGCTGCTGAGCACAAAAAGGAACAACACCAACAACTTTGCTCAAAATTTAAAAAGAAAAAAAAAAAAAAACAACTCTCTGTTGACGTCTCTGCTAACGTTAGAAAAAACAGCGGTTAATGCCTTCTTAACATTTCCTTTTTATTATTTAATTCCTATTATAAGCAAGAGAAACCAACATTTTGCAATTTTTTCTTACACACTTTTTACTCTCTGTATATATTCAGTTTCAAATTGTTTCAGTTTTTCAGTTTATTTTCGTTTTGTTTTTTTTTTACAGCACTTATTTTTGCATTCTCTTTTGTGTTATTATTGTCCTTAAGTGTTGCCAACTTTTTGTTTAAGCTGTGCATTTTGTAAAGCCGTTATAATTTTATTTTTCTTTGCTATTACATTTGTCTTTTTGCTTTTTAAAACATTTTTTTTGTGCTTGTGTTATTTTTGTTGTTGTTTTTTAACTATTTCTTACTGAGTGTTGTATTAGCGTAGGTTAGTGTTGTTTTTTGCATTTACCTTACTTTGTTGTTATGGTATGTGGGCAAAACTTTTTTTTTGTAATTTTTTATTTGTGTGTTTTTATACGTTTATTAACCTTCTTTTAGCCGCTGCATCTTTTGTAATAGAGTTTTTTTAATAAAATATTTCTGTTGTAGTATTTTAATTACCGGATGTTGAAGTTACTTTCGTTTTTTTTTTTTTTTTTTCTGAAACTCTCAACAAACATCTGTCAGTTTGTTTTGTAGTTTACTTCTGAGCATCTCATTATTTTTCCCGAAATAGGTATTAAACGAATAGGTACTAGGTATTGTAAATAAATATCAAGTTTCACATATTTTTCAATTTGCACAGTGGGTGAAATTTGTTAAAAATTAAATAAAATGCGGTAAATTTTGAATTTGGTTCTAGTTCAGTTCTGTATCAGATATTGTTTAGTTCTTAATAAGTTTTAGTTCTCTTCGAAATAGGTATGTTCTAGGTAGTTCATACCCATGTATTTAGTTATGTTCTAGATTTGATCTATTTCAGTTGTAGTTTAGTACTTCATATCTAAATCAGTTGATCTAATTCAGTTCTGAGTAAGATTAAGATCTGCAGTTTATTTTTAGTTAATTTGTGGATTAGTTCAAGTTTAGTTTGGGATTAGTTCTAGTTATTACCTATCTGATTTACGTTTAGTTCTGAGTTCTAGTTTATATCTAGATTTCTTCACGTCTAGATCTAGGTCAGTTCAGTTTTAGATTAGTTCTAGTGCAGTTCCGGAATAAGTCTTGTTCAATTTTAATTCAGTTCTACTTTTTATACCTATCAATTCTAGTTTAGTTTTTGTCTAGATTTGAATCAGTTTTAGTAAAAATTTCTTTAGTTCTAGTTGGGATCTAGATCAGTTTATAACCCACTACGGTAAGTCTACTTTTGTTTAAGATCAATTATAATTTAGTTCTTGTTCAGTTTCTACATTTACCTCAAATCGTGCAATTTCATTTCAAGTTTTGATTTGCTTCGGTTCTGCTTTATTTCTACTTCAATTCTTTTTCAGATCTAGTTTCATTATATTAAAGTTCTAGTTCCATTTTAGATCTTGTTTTGTCCTAGTTCAGTTTTAGTTCAATTCTAGTTCAGTTCTAGTTCAATTCTACTTCAGTTCTAGCTCTGATTTGGTCTAGTTCTGTTCTAGTTGCGTTCTAGTTCTGTTTAGTTCTAGTTCTAGCTCAGTTCTGTTTAGTTCTAGTTCTGTTCTAGATCTGTCTTAGTTCCAAACCAAATTTCATTTACATAAATGCACCTGTTTGTCTCCAAAAACAGGAACTTTACGTTATCTGTTTTTATTTTTATTACTGTGTCTTTTCTAACTAATCAAATCATTGTCACTTTTATTCGGCGAATTCTGCTCTAAATGACTAATATGTACCTAGAAAAAGAAAAAAACAAATTCAATTTGATGCTAGTTTACTACATATTTACGTTATTTAAATTACTATTTCCGGTTTATTTGCTGTTAAACTATTTGAAACAGAAACAAACCAAAACAGCCAAATCATCATCGTCGTCATCAGCTCTATACTGTCTGTCTATGCAATATAATATAGCTTCTCACTATGTATTTTTAAAAATAACTTTTTGTTTATTTGTTTCTAGCTAAAAAAAAAGTATCATTAGAAAAAAAAACCTAAAAAAGTGTGTGTGGTATGAGAGAAAAAGTACATTGTACAAAATATAAATAAAATAAAAATGAATGTTTACTCATATGTGAATTACGTAGTAGTAAATCATTGAAATTTCATGGAAAAATCTAGGTCGAAATGCCAGCCGCCACTGCTAACTAATTCAAACAAAATATTTACAACACACACAGGCACCAACAACAAACAACATCAACGAACTCTCTAAGCAAATAATAATGTTTTGTACATTTGCAGCAGCGCACAGTCATGTAAGGCGGTGAAGACTCAGTCTGACACGCCGGTGGCCGGACGTAGACATGTAGTACATATTATAAAACGTCATAAACAATTTTTATGAAAGTTGTGTTGTTGTTTTTATAACAATTTCGATTTGTTTGCAAAATTAAACTTATTCAATGAATTGTTTTTGGTTTTACAAATACAACTGGCAACTCTGTTTATAGTTGTAGATGTTAACCCAGTGAACAAATTTGGTCTTATATCAGATATTGGAAGAGAGAGACATTGACAAATGATCAGTGTCACTGACTGTTGTAAGCTTACACATACATAAGTTAAAGGCAAGAGATCTCTTGTCAATCTCTGGCTTAAATTACAACTAAAACTTAACTAGAACTGACCTAGAATTGAACTTAGAACTGAACTAGAACTGGACTAGAACTGAACTAGAGCTGAACTAGAACTGAACTAGAACTGAACTAGAACTGAACTAGAACTGAACTAGAACTGAACTAGAACTGAACTAGAACTGAACTAGAACTGAACTAACTGACTAGAACTGAACTAGAACTGAACTAGAAACTGAACTAGAACTGAACTAGAACTGACTAGAACTGAGCTAGAACTGAACTAGAACTGAACTAGAACTTAACTAACTGAACTAGAAACTGAACTAGAACTGAACTAGAACTGAACTAGAACTGAACTAGAACTGAACTAGAACTGAACTAGAACTGAACTAGAACTGAACTAGAAACTGAACTAGAACTGAACTAGAACTGAACTAGAACTGAACTAGAACTGAACTAGAACTGAACTAGAACTGAACTAGAACTGAACTAGAACTTAACTAGAACTGAACTAGAACTGAACTAGAACTGAACTAGAACTGAACTAGAACTGAACTAGAACTGAACTAGAACTGAACTAGAACTGAACTAGAACTGAACTAGAACTGAACTAGAACTGAACTAGAACTGAACTAGAACTGAACTAGAACTGAACTAGAACTGAACTAGAACTGAACTAGAACTGAACTAGAACTGAACTAGAACTGAACTAGAACTGAACTAGAACTGAACTAGAACTGAACTAGAACTGAATTAGAACTGAACTAGAACTGAACTAGAATTGAACTAGAACTGAACTAGAACTGAACTAGAACTGAACTAGAACTGAACTAGAACTGAACTAGAACTGAACTAGAACTGAACTAGAACTGAACTAGAACTGAACTAGA